TATGTCTAGCTTAACCTTAGGGGTAGATGGGGGTGGATTTAGATAAGCCTATTACCCAATGACTCAATGTTGCAGAGACAGAGGGAAGGTAGGTATGAATTAATTTCGGGGAGATAGATTTTGCAAGTAGTAGAGCCTGAAGATCCCAGCCGGAACTGTGCTTCTCTCTATTTGTACCCATAACTTATCCGAGGGGATCAACCAGTGCTGAAGCTGATCTAGTAGTGCAGCATGCTATTAGGTATATACAACAGGGAAACCTACTCCCTGTCAGGGCTCCCGTGTATGTCCAGAGGTTTGTGACTGACGCAGGGAAAAGCAAGCTTCGGATAAAGTTATAAACAATATAATTTATTAAAGACTAACAATACAAACATCAACGCAGTGCAATAACTAAAACATAACACAGTGCAAACTATCCAAAACCAAACCACACCCACAGATAACAAAACATACAATGCAAGCGTCGTCAGGCAGGCCGGGTCAATAACAGGAGGTCAGAACGTATAGGGGGTTAAGCAGGAGAATGGTCAGACAAAGCCAGGGATCAGAGCAGGAGAATGGGTCAGACAAAGCCAGGGATCAGAGCAGGAGAATGGTCAGACAAAGCCAGGGATCAGAGCAGGAGAATGGTCAGACAAAGCCAGGGATCAGAGCAGGAGAATGGTCAGACAAAGCCAGGGATCAGAGCAGGAGAATGGTCAGACAAGCCAGGGAATCAGAGCAGGGTCAGCAACGAATCAGACCAGAGCAGGAACAGGAACAGGGGTAGCAGGGGGAACAGGATACAGGGCCCAGGAGAAACACACACCAAGGCAGAGTCTGCAGGTCTGGCCATCCCTTAAATACACCAGTATAAGCAGTTTCAGGGTGTTTGGTTTGGCTGCAAGGTTGAGTCTTGATTGCTGGGGAGCACCCCCGCTGGTTTTTTTTTTTTTTTTTTTGACCTGGTACTGGTTTTGGGGTTTTTTTTTTGGTGGGGGAGCCCAGGGGGTTTAAGGTCCAGGTTGAGTTCCCACATTGCTGGCAGTTTTTTCCATTCCTGACAGTTTTGTTGTTACCACCCCCCTCAAGGAGCGGCCTCAGGACGTGGTACAAACAGTCCTTTTTTGGGGAGGTTTTTTTCCAACCGCCAAGGTCTGGTAAAACTGGCTGGGATATCAAAGACTGGGACACACGGGCAGGACTGCAGCCCCCGGGCAGCGGTCCCCACCGGGCAGGACTCTGGGACAGTAGGCCCATCGGGAGCGGCACTCGGGCACGAGGCACACCGGGCAGATGGCACATCGCCTCCGGCAGAGGCATCACCGGCGGCAGAGGCACACCGGGCTCGGACTCCGGCAGCCTGTGGCACATCGGGCCGGACTCTGGGCAGAGGCACATCGGGGGCACACCGTTAGTAGCACACCGGACTCGGGCAGCACACCCGGGCAGGCACATCGGGCGGGACCTCCGGGCAAGGCACATCGGGCTCGGATCTCGGGCAGAGGCACATCGGGCCGGACTCCGGGGCAGAGGCACATCGGGCCGGACTCGGGGCAGAGGCACATCGTGGCCGGACTCCGGGCAGAGGCACATCGGGCCGGACTACCGGGCAGAGGCACAGGCACATCGGGCAGAGGGTCCGGACTCCGGGCAGAGGCACATCAGGCTGGACTCCGGGCAGAGGCACATCGGATCACCAGGCAAAGCAGCAGGCAGTGGGCCACCAGGCGGAGCATCGGCAGCAGGCAGCAGCAGCAGTGGCCACCAGGTGGAGCACGCAGGCTTGCGGGCCACCATGGAGCAGCAGCGGGCCACCAGGTGGGGCGACAGGCACCGGGCCCCAAGCGGGGCGACGGGCACCGGGCCCCCAGGCGGGGCGACGGGCACTGGGCCCCCAGGCGGGGCGACGGGCATCGGGCCCCCAGGCGGAGCGGCGGGCGCCGGGCCCCCAGGAGGGGTGACAGGCATCGGCCCCCCAGGCGGGGCGACAGGCATCGGGCCCCCAGGTGGGGCGACAGGCATCGGACCCCCAGGCGGAGCGGCGGGCGCCGGACCCCAGGCGGAGCGGCAGGTCTCGAGCCCCCAGGCGGAAAGTGGCGGGCGCCGGACCCCCAGGCGGAGCGACAGGTCTCGGCCCCAGGCGGAGCGGCGGGCGCCGGACCCCCAGGCGGAGCGACAGGTCTCGGGCCCCCAGGCGGAGCGGCGGGCGTCGGACCCCCAGGCGGAGCGACAGGCACCGAGTCACCAGGCACAACAGTGGGCTCCGAGTCAACTGGCATGACCGCTGGCACTGGGTCAGACATTGGATCGTCTGGCTGGACAGCGGGCATCGGGTCACCAGGCATCAGGTCGTTTGGCTCGACAGCGGGCACCGCGTCATCTGGCAAGGCAGTGGGCTCCCGAGTCAACTGGCATGACTGCGGGCACTGGGTCAGACATTGGATCGTCTGGCTGGACAGCGGGCATCGGGTCACCAGGCATCAGGTCATTTGGCTCGACAGCGAGCACCGCGTCATCTGGCAAGGCAGTGGGCTCCGAGTCAACTGGCATGACCGCGGGCACTGGGTCAGACATTGGACCGTCTGGCTGGACAGCGGACATCGGGTCACCAGGCATCAGGTCATTTGGCACTACAGCGGGCACTGCGTCATCTGGCAAGGCAGTGGGCACCAAGTCACCAGGCACGACAGTGGGCTCTGAGTCAATTGGCACGACAGCGGGCACCGGGTCATCAGGTACCGGATTGTCTGGCTCAACAGCGGGCATCGGGTCACCAGGTATGACAGCGGGCACTGGGCCACCAGGCATCAGGTCATTTGGCTCGCCAGCGGGCACCGCGTCATCTGGCAAGGCAGTGGGCACCGAGTCACCAGGCACGACAGCGGGCTCTGAGTCAATTGGCACGACAGCGGGCACCAGATCAGGTACCGGATCATCTGGATCAACAGCGGGCATCGAGTTAACTGGCCTAATAGGATCATCAGGCTGGATCAGTTCATCATGCTGGGTAGAGGCATCAGGCTGAATGGAGGCATCAGGCTGAGTAGAGGCATCAGGCTGAGTAGAGGCATCAGGCTGAGTAGAGGCATCAGGCTGAGTAGAGGCATCAGGCTGAGTAAAGGCATCAGGCTGAGTAGAGGCATCAGGCTGAATAGAGGCATCAGGCTGGTACAGGCTGGGTACAGGCATCAGGCTGGGTACAGACCTCAGGCTGAAGTGTGGGTGCCGAGGCAGCAGGCTGAACCACGGAAGGCAGGTTCTCAGACGGCAGGCTCACCGGTTTGGATACTGGCAGGATGGTATTGGTTGGAAAGAATTTTTGCTTTTTTCTGGTTTTAACTACTGGAGCACTGCAAGTAAACGCAGGTCTGCAAACGAATGGAGCAGCTGGAGACAGAGAAGAGCTGGAGGATGGAACAGAGGAGGGAACAGTTGCTACAGAGGGCTTTTTTACAGGGTTAAAGGCAGGATAGGTGCAGTGAGTGGGAACAGGGTACTGACATGTGGTAGATAGCAGGGCAGGAGGAGCTGTTGGGAATGCAGGAATAGAGTTTTGAGGAAATAGATTAGAAGCAGGACTGGGTTTTTGTAAGCTGACTGCGGCTGGGTGCAACAAGTCTGACCATGTCTGCAGTATGGGTTGAACAAAGCTGAGCTTACACAAAGCCTGTCTGACCAAAGACTGCACTGCGTTTATACAATCCCTTAATACCTGTGGTGAACATGCAGCATAATGCTCCAAGAAGCAATCCACATCATCCTCTAATAACCATACCATGGACTTTACCTGGTCGGCACTAAATGGCGGCAAAAATTCATCCCTGCATTCGGGGGTACCAGATGAAACCAACTCCGCACAAACCTGAATCAATGGCTGCACCTCAGAGAATTCTGTGCCCTGATCTACTAGAACATGAGCGAGCCGTATACATTTTAGCAGTTCATCCCTGGGATACTCCTTCAGAGTCTGATAAGCATACTCTCTGTCATCAAACACTAGCAGATATAAATACACAACCTCATCAAGATCCATCCTTCCCATCAACAAACCAAGATGGCTTCCCTGTTCAGCCACTTCTGGTCAGGATTGGCCTTGGTGTAATGTCAGGGCTCCGGGTATGACCAGAGGTTTGTGACTGACGCAGGGAAAAGCAGGCTTCGGATAAGTTATAAACAATATAATTTATTAAAGACTAACAATACAAACATAAACGCAGTGCAATACTAAAACATAACACAGTGCAAACTAACCAAACCAAACCACCCACAGATAACAAAACATACAATGCAAGCGTCGTCAGGCAGGCCGGGTCAATAACAGGAGGTCAGAACGTATAGGGTTAAGCAGGAGAATGGTCAGACAAAGCCAGGGATCAGAGCAGGAGAATGGTCAGACAAAGCCAGGGATCAGAGCAGGAGAATGGTCAGACAAAGCCAGGGATCAGAGCAGGAGAATGGTCAGACAAAGCCAGGGATCAGAGCAGGAGAATGGTCAGACAAGCCAGGGATCAGAGCAGGGTCAGCAACGAATCAGACAGGAACAGGACCAGGAACAGGGTAGCAGGAACAGGATACAGGCCCAGGAGAAACACACACCAAGGCAGAGTCTGCAGGTCTGGCCATCCCTTAAATACACCAGTATAAGCAGTTTCAGGTGTTTGGCTGGCTGCAAGGTTGAGTCTCTGATTGCTGGGAGCACCCGCTGGCCAGCCCTGGTACTGCAGCCCATAAGGCAGGTGAGTCCCACCATTGCTGGCCAGTCCATTCCTGACACTCCCCCTCTAGATTTATGTCTAATGAGAGCTGAAAACGGGATTCTGGCCCCCCCCCCGAAACATATTTTTTCAACGCTATATCTAGTTTATTAAAGTAAGAGTGAGGGATGAGTATTGGAATCGTTCTAAAATAGTATAAAGGTTTAGGTAGAATCAACATCTCAAAGGCCGCTAGTCTGCCCAACCACGAGAGCTCATGTTTTCCAGTTACTAATAGATCTGTTACTATCACTTGGTATAATTCCTCATTATTAGCCTTGAACATGCTAGAAGAAGGGGAAGACACCTGGATACTCCAGACGTGTCGTGGACCAGCTGTACAAAAAGTTATTTTTAAGACATTTTAACAATTCTTTTGGTATATTTATAGGGAGTGCACACGGTTTAGTAACATTGAGTTTGTAACAGGAGATGTTGCTAAACATTTGGAGTGTAGAGAAGACTGCTGTTAATGAATTCAATGGGTCCGTTATGGTAAGTATGACATCATCTGCAAAGAGGCCAATTTTGTGGGAAAGATTTGCAGTTCGTATACCCGAGATCAAGGGGTTCGCTCTAATTGAAGTCCCTAAGGATTCCTTCACCAGAGAAAAGATAAATGGGGGAGAGGGGACATCCTTGTCTGGTTCCATTTGTGATAAGAAAGGGGTCTGACAAGGCATTGGATGTAAAAACTTGTGTGGAGGGCACTGTATATAATGCCGTAATGGCTGATTTGATATAGCCATTGATACCGAAATTGTAAAGAGTAGAGTCGAGATACTGCCAATGAACTCTATCGAATGCCTTTTCAGCATCCAGTGCCAGGAAAACAGTTTGCGATTTACGCAGTTCAGTAATCCGCAGTAGATTAAGTACTCTACACGTGCCATCCGCTGCTTGTCTACCTTTAACGAACCCTACTTGATCTGATTGGATAAGAGAAGGAGTCACTGTTAACAATCTGCTAGCTAGAATTTTAGCAGAAAATCTTAAGATCCGTAATGAGTAAGGATATTAGGCGGAAATTTTGGGAGCAGTTTGGGGATTTTCCCGGTTTAGGCAGGGTGACAATGTTTGCTGTAAGCATCTCTGAAGGAAAAGTAGTATTTTGTACCGCCTGCAAGAACACCTTCTTAATATGGGGTAATAATATATCTTGAAATTTTTTGTAGTATTCTGCAGCAAGTCCATCTGCCTCAGGCGAAATCCCCTTCGGTAGTGCTTTAATTGCGGCTGTTATCTCATTATCTGATACAGGTTGATTTAGAGTATCCAGCTTAGACTGTTCCAATTGAGGTAGGGACATATTCAAAAAAAAAATTGATAAGGTCAGGGGTAGGTTGAGTGTATGTGAACCATCTTTCAGATTGTATAATTGAGTATAGTAGGTCCAAAAGGCCGCTGCGATTTTATTGGGATGGAAGACCTTTTCCTTAGATTGAGGTCCATCACCGAGGGGATTTTAGTTTTGGCCTGTTTGACATTTATGTAGGAAGCCAGCAATTTTCCGGCTTTATTACCTTGGGTATAATAATTAGTTTTGGCTCTTTTGAGGAATATTTCTTGTTGGAGTAATAGGATTTTTTTAAGGGCTATTCTATTAGTCTGTAATTCCTGTGATACCGTAGGAAAAAGATCTCTTTTATGTTGAGATTCTAAGCTAGCGGTCTTAGATATTTGTTCTGACATGACCTTTTGTCTACGGTTTTTTCTCCCTAGAGGCGATCTGTAGTAACACACCTCGACAGAAGGCCTTATGTGCACACCAAACATTAAAGATATCCACATCTGAAGAGGCATTGATATCAAAATATTCCTGCAAAGATTTAGAAATATATGTGCAAGTATTGGGGTTAGTGAACAAAGAAGTGTCATTACGCCACAGGAATACCTGGTGAGAATCGCAATGACTCCTCAATACTAATAGATATAGATGCGTGGTCTGCCCATGTCATGGGATGAATTTGTGCTTTAGTAACATGTTGCAGAAGTTGTATATCGGTTAAAAAAGAATCAATCCTAGAGTAAGACCTATGCGGAGCTGAGTAATATGTAAAATCTTTCATAAAGATTTGATTCCTGTGCTGTTGGCGCCATAGAATACCTTGCCCCGCGGGACTGGCCCAAGACATCCAAAAATTTGTGGATGACAGCATTAAAATCGCCACACTAGTGTACCCTTCTGAATCTTCATGACTTTCTTCCTCAGGCAGTTGAAAAAGGAGATTTGGTTGACATTAGGGGCATATAAATTCACTATCGTGTAGAGAACATTATTTAAAGCATACACCATTATTATGTATCTTTCCTTCCGGTCACTCTCCAGGGAGTGGAGGGAAAATGGTATAGAGATTTTAATGGCTATTAAAACCCCACATTTTTT